ACATCACCATCCTCAACGTCAACGAGCCACCGTACTTGCTGGAGCTCAGCACGAGCTCTGTTGCGGAGAACACGCCACCAGGCATCCCCATCGCTACCATCGTTGCGTTTGATGAGGACAGGAGCGGTGACGAGCACACGTGCCAGCTGCTCTTTGGCGGCGACAGCGCCTTGCTCTCCTTGTTGCCGCCCAACACACTCACCGTGGCCGCGGGTATGACCGTCAACTTCGAGGAGCGCGCCTCGCTCACGTTTGCTGTGTGGTGCAGCGACGTCAACGACGGCACCGTGTTCGCGACAGCCAACCTCACCCTCGATGTGGTGGACGTGCAGGAGCCACCCACGGCCGTCGTGTTTGCTGCGTCTGAGCCTGTGCCGGAGGTTCGCTCGCAGGCGATTGTCCTTGGCACGCTGAGCACGATTGACGAGGACGCGCAGGACAGCACCATCTTTGTGCTCTCGGACAATGACGGCGGGCGCCTGACCATTGCGCAGACCAACGAGGTGGTCATCTTGGCAGACGCACCACTCGACTTCGAAACACAGCCCGCCCGCACCTTCAACGTCACCGCAGTCGACCTCTCCGGCATCCCTGTCTCCCGCCAGTTCACTTATGAGGTTGCAGATGTGAACGAGCCACCAACAGCACCCACCATTACCCCAACTCTTGGAAACGGCGGTGACAATAGCAGCGATGTCACAATCATCCCCGTGCCCGAAACGACGGCTGTTGGAACCGTGATTGCCACGCTCGCATCCACAGACCCAGAAGGCACGCCCGTCAGCTTCGTTGTTGGCGGCCAAGACAGCGCGTTCGTAGCTGTGGACGGCGCCTCCATCGTGCTCGCCACTCCCGTTAACTTTGAGGGAGGCAGCAGCAGCAGCAGCGACGCCAGGTTGTTCTTCTGGGCACGAGCCAGCGACGGCGTGAACGACTCGCCCACCACGCACGCTGGCATCGCCATTGGTGACGTGAACGAGGCCCCATCGTCCATTGTGGTGTCACCCACACGCGTGCCGGAGAATGCGCTGCCGGGCGCGGTCACCCTGAGCGTCACCATCACTGACCCAGACGAAGATGACAGTGTCGTCATCACCGGCATTGCAACCGATCCTGCCAACATTAACATCACCATTCAGACGCAGCCGTCGTGTGTCAGCGTTTCACCACAGGAAGGCAACAACGGCACGCTTGCTGCTGGGTACACGGAGTGCAGTGGCGCTGTGCTGTCGCTGAACCAGCCCTTCAACTACGAGCAGCTTCCCTCCTTCGTGCTCACCTTGCACGCAGCCGTGCCTGCACTGTGACGTACGTGTGTATGCTGAAGTAAAGACAACTTTTCAAGGACACAGTAAGGGGGTGGCAATCACGGTTCGAGGCAGCCATCAGCGCACAAACAAAGCACCTTGCATCCATGTGATCCACAACATGAACACACACACACACACACACACACACACATCCGCTTGTGAGGCGATGTTCGTGCGGTTGAGCCCGGTCACATGAAGTCTTGGCCACAGGCCAGCCGCACAGAGGTACATCCATATTCACCTGCAGCAGTCACAGGCACAACATCAAAGGGGAGCAACTTGAGTGCTTGAGTGATGCACCGGACAACAAACACGATGCACAACACGATGCCAACACCAACCACACATGCATGCACACAATCGCTGCAACTCTGGCTCCTTCTCCATCCCCAGCCCTCTCCCAGGGCTTGTCTGGGGCAGCCAAGAATTGCTTTGGTGATGTGAATTCATCACATCCAACACAAACAACACGTGGGCTCAACACCCTCATATTGAGGACAATGCGCTTGAGTTACGTTTGACAGCACTTTGAGGAGGTTGGACGTGTACATCATTTATTGTGTGAGAGGAGCATACGAGGAAACCACATGGAAAGGAAAGTCGTGCAGACCAGGGAAGGAGGATACAACAAAAACAGCAGCAGTGGTCATGAGCAGAGGTGGTAATCGACATGGAAGCCAAGATTGAGAAGGGGAGGCTGTGCGAAGAGGCGAAGCTCGGTGGGCGGTGTGGTGTTCGTGTTCATGTCAAGCTACTTGGCGCATGACTTCATGAGGGTAACGACCTTGTCGCTGAGCTTGTCCAGGGCCTGGCGTGCCTCCTTGCGCTTTCGAACGGCCTCTTGCACAGCCTCGCGTGTCTCCTGAGTCTCAAGCGCCTTGTGGACTTGGACCTCCGTGCAAACCCGGGCACAGAGCGTGCCGTAGCTAACTTGGAGCTCTTGCAGTTGTTCGTTCGCACGTCTCAGCCGATCCTCAGGGCGGGCTGTCATTTCAAACCAGCCCTCCTGAATGGACTCGCAGAGGCGGCCAGCAGCAGCTTTGATCTCGTCGAAGTTCTTGTAAACGGCGTACAACACCGCACCTCCAACAACAGCGCCGGCGATGACTGGATGTGCAACAGCAAAGTTCGCAGCCCCTTGAATAGCGCCTTTCACAAAAGGCACGGTTGCCGCGACAGCGGCATCAAGA